AATTTTGTGCGTGCTAGAAAGTCTAAAAATATTTAGGGTGTGAAATTTACTTTAATCTATGGTTTGATTTGATCATAATATCGAATCAACGAATCTCTTATTTATTAGGGACAAACGATGATTCGATATGTTTTTTATATATATAAATTTGTGTTTGTGAGGAATCGAGCCCTTAGTTCCCTTAAAATCTCCATTGCTCGTAATGCCATTTGAATCCTGTTTAGCTATTTTCACAAATAGAGGCTTTTGATCGATGGCATCGGGAAGATAGCAATCGGGGTCATAGACTACTCACTTAGCTAGACCTTGTTGGTGGATTCGAGCATGTCTACGACCTTTATTTATGATTTTAAACTTTTACAAAAAATCTAAAGCTTGGTCAATAGGATATGAAAGAATAGCCATGAAAAATCTTGGAAGATACTAAAGCTTTTTGGTGGATTTTGATGATAGATGCCAAAGGTTAGAGCTTTTGCATTTTTTTTTTTAGGAAAGAGGGAGTCGTGGAGATTGATAGTTGTGTTCTAGGATGAACAAATGACAAGGGAAGGCCGATAGTGATGTTTATGGAGGCAAAGCTATTGAGCTTAGTGAAGTGGATTTACGGAGGGTACGAAATTATGATACTCGGGCTTGTCTTGAACTTGGGGACAGTCGAGGGGAGTCTCGATTGTTGATTTGAGGGTGTAGAGGTTGTTGACGTCTATTATTGCAAGTAGTTATTTGGATGGGTTTCGGTGAGGGTAATGAAGGATGCTAGTTATGAAATTGATGAAGGAAGATGGCGGCGACTCACAAACTCATCCACCAGGTGTTTGATAAAATTCTTCTAAGGTCTCCACTTTGAGTGCCTCCCTCTTCTTCGCTTTGTTCTCTCTCAATCTCTCGGATTTTGATTAATGGGTATGAAGATGGCTGAGATGATAGTAAGAGGGTTCCGTAGGTTTGGGAGCTCCGGTTGGATGGATTTATAGGGTTGCTTGATGGAGGGTGGGTTATGAGCGAGAGGGGTCTACTCGGTGTGGTGTAGATAGAGGAGAAAGAATCTATTGAGGTAAAGAACTGGGATTGATGGGTTTATGGGTTTGGGTTATGCTTACTAGTAGGAGCTTAGTTTTGATATTGGTGGACTATCCACGAGTGCTTGATAAAAGTCATTTGTGACTCCCACTTTAAATATCTCCTAAATATAGTAAGGTTGATGGGGGAAGTTTCGTTGATTTTGTTGTTGGTGAATGGTTGGTGGGTGAGGACCGATAAAACATAGAAGAGAAAAGAATTGTATTAACTTCTCTATCAGTTTACATAAGAAGGAGTTCGATTTATATACACATATGAGGAGCTATAGATAGTAAGTGAGAGATTTGATCAAAATAAGAGCCTAGATAAGAGAACCATGATTTATGGATTAAAGGTTATACATCCATGATTTCTAGATCATGAAGATTAAGTATATCATTAACATCCCCCTCAAACGCAAGGCGGTAAGAACTCGGATAACTAGAGTTTGCAAACAAGATCATAAAATCGATGATTCGGATGAGCTTTGGTGAATATGTCTCCGGTCCGATTTTGAGAGGACACTAAAACAAGGTGGATAGTGCCTCGGCTAACATGATGGCATACAAAGTGGCAATCAATCTTAATATGTTTTGTATGTTCATGAAAAACATCATTATGAGCAATTTACATGGCACTAAGATTATCACACCGAAGTGATGTAATGAAAGTTTATTGAATGCCCATATTTTGAAGCAACCAACGAAGCCACGAAGCTCGAAGTTATGTCCGTAAGAGCTCAATATTCGAACTTCTATACTAGAACGTGAAATAATGGTTTGCTTTTTGCTACGCTAAGATGTACGAGAGTCACCAAGGAAAAAGTAGTAAGTAGTAGTAAAGTGTTGATCAATTGGATCACCGACCTAATCGACATCGAGTAAGCTTGTAAGACAAAAGATAAAGATCCGGAATAATGAAGTCATGAAATAAGGTGCCCTTGATATAATGAAGCATACAAAGAACAACAAGCATAATAAGTGGTGCGAGGAGTCGTCATAAACCGACCGACAATATGAACTACATATGTTATGTCTAGATGAGTAACTATAAGATAGATAAGATCGCACACTAGTTAATGATAGAGAGTATTATCACTAAGAAGAGAACCGTTAGAGGTTGAGAAATGAGCATTTACCTCAATAGGAGTACTAGCAGCTTTATCATTAGTAAGTCCCGTATGAGAGATAAGATCACTAGGATATTTGGCTTGTGACAAGTAGTACCTTGAAGAATTAGAAGAAACTTCAAGACCTAGAAAATAACTTAGATGACTAAGATCTTTCATTTCAAACTACTCGGATGAGAAAATTCTTGATATTATTAATGACATGTAGATCATCTCTAGTAATAATCATATTGTCAATATATAGTAATAAAATAATACCGCTTTTTGTAGTTTTGCGAATAAAGAATGTATGATCATAAAGGCTAGATTGAAAACCGATCCGGTAGATAGTGGAGCTAAATTTAGAGAACCAAGCAAGAGGTGCTTGTTTGAGCTCATACAAAGCCTTACGAAGATGACATACTTTATTTGAAGGGTGATCATAATTAAGATGAGGTTGCATATACATTTCTTCTATAAGATCACCATTGAGAAAGGCATTTTTCACATCCATCTAAAACAAAGACCAATGTTGAGAAGCTACAATCGTAATAAGACTAAGAACGAAGTAATTCGAGCCACTAGAGCAAGAGTTTCTTCATAATCAATCCCATATTCCTATGTAAATCCTTTTGTGACTAGGCGAGCTTTATATCTTTCCATAGAGCCATCGACTTTGGTCTTAATTTTATAAACCTATTTACAACCAACTAGAGATTTATCAAAAGGTAAATCAAACAAATCCCAAGTACGTGTACTAATAAGAGCTCGAAGTTCTTCTCGCCATTACTTTTTGCCATAAAAGGTTAGTGGTAGCTTCGCGATAAATACGAGTTTCATATAAAGAAATAAGAGTAGAGTAACGAGTGATAATCATGAAGAGTAACATTAGGTTGACTTAATCGAGAAGAATGTCCGAGTGAAAGATCGGAAGAAGATTCAATATCCATAAGGGTGAGAACAACATTATCCGTAGGTAAGTTAGATATATTAGAAAAGGTCGAAGGTTGGTCAATTATGTTAGAGTAATAAGAATCGCTGTAAAATCTTCGGGAAATAAAGGAAGAGTAGGATCGGTGAGAAAGGATGAGGTGGAAGAGACCTAAAGTTGGAAGAGGGAGGAAAAAATTTTATGCTCCCAAGAGGTAATATGACGAGATATTCTAAGACATTTAGAAATGGGATCACAACATCTATATCCTTTATGTTCAATTCCATATAATAAGAAACAACATAAATGAGCTCGTGGTTCTAATTTAGTATGCTCATGAGGTTGGAGAAGAACAAAACTAGCACAACCAAAGACTCGAAGAGTTTAATAATGAGGAGCATGACCGTATAAATGTTCAAAAAGTGAGATTTTACCTATGATTGGAGATGGAATATGATTTATAGTGTATATCGTAAGAAAAGCCGCTTCCCTCGAAACTTTCGGAACAAGAAGAGGAAATAAGCAATGCCCAAACAAGTATCTAATATATGTCTATGTTTTCTTTACGCATGACCATTTTGTTAGGAAGTACCTAGACAAGAATGTTGCACTATAGTGCCTTTTTGGGAAAAGAATTACGAAAAAGTGGACTCTCGATATTCCATAGCATTTTCTATACGAAAAATTTTGGTATGACAAGAAAACCGAGTTTTAACCATGTTAGCAAATTGGATATAAATAGTGAGTAACTCATATCAATTTTTTGTAAGATAAATCCAAGTATAATGAGAATAATCGTCAACAAAAATGACAAAATATCCCGATCCACCCATAGTAGGAGTAGAAGCGGGACCCCAAATATCGGAATAGATTAAATCAAAGGGGCAAAAGAAAGTGAATCACTTATATTAAAAAGCAAAGCATGATATTTGGAAAGTTGACATGAAACACAATCAAAATGTTCGATTTAACAAATCCTAAACAACCACTAGAAGTTAAAGGACTTAATCTAGACAAGGAAATGTGACCAAGACGAGAATGTCATAAACTCGAAGGAACAAGTAGCAACAATTTGAGATGGAAGTTGGAGAGAGATTAGCTCGAACAAACGACCAGACCTTACGCTCTCGTCCCAAGGATCTTTCCCGTTCGTGGATCCTGTACAACACAACCACAGACTTGAAAAATGTAAATAAATACCAAGTTCACATAATTGTCCAATAGAAATAAGATTAAAAGATAATTTAGGTACATAAAAGGTATTTGGTAAAGACAATTAAGAAGTGAAAATATGACATATGGTATTGACATGTAAGATAGAATTATGAGCGAGTATGAACAATAGGAACAACAGGAGGACAACACTTAGACGAAAATATAGTAGAGTCGGAGGTCATGTGATTACAACAAGCGAGAATCAAAAAACCAAGATTGAGAATTACTCGAGTGACGGACATGACAAAAGAAGTAAGAATATCGGAGTCGGTCGTATTTGTTGAAGAATAGCATAAAGGTCTCGAAGAGAAAATTTTGGAGAAGTAGACTCGTAAATAGAACCTCAATGGCGAGTAGCAGTAGTAGCGAGATGATTTTATAGATTAAGAGGGCCAAGCACGAGATTTGGTTGAAGTACCTTGTCTAGATTTTTTAGCTTGCGGACAACCGCACTCGAGCAATAATATGCCTAGGTTTCTTACGATATCTACAAAAAGTATTATTACTAGAAATAGGAGTAGCAAGCACAACATCTATAAAAGCAAATATCATTCAAGCACAAAGAGTGATGAGGCGACTTTCCTTAGAAATTAGCTCTCTTATGATTGTGTCAAGTTTGGGTAGCGGACTACGGTGGAGAAAAGCGAGACAAATAGACTCAAACTTAGTTCGGAGAGTCATAAGTAAATGCCAAACCCATTGGCGATCGCAAAGATTAGCATAGAGAAGAGCGGAGGTCGTATTCGGGCAAGTTGGATCACAACTCGCTAAGCCGATTCCAAACAACTTGCAACTTAGAAACATACCAATGAATACTCGATTGGGTTGTTGTTGCATATGATGAAGACGATGATAAAGTCGAAATTGATGAACATCATCGGAGATCGCATAACGAGGATGTAAAAAATCCCAAACTTCCTTAGTATTATCAAAATGATGAAATTGTAATTTGATGCTAGAAAGACAAGTATTGTGAAACCAAGTCAATATTTGATGATTTTTGCTATCCCATTGATCTAGTCTTTCGGTGAATTTAGAATCATTCTCATCCGTTGTTTTGGTGGGTTTAGAAATTTCATCGATAACAAACCGCCTAAGAAGATGGCCTTTCAAAAAACTATACATTTCTTAAGCTCATAAACATAGTTGGTTCCATAAAAAACAACAAAAATAGGATGTGTAATAGTTTGAGGAGAACGAGAATTCTCATAAGTGGCCATGGGATAAAGAAATAATATGATGATGAATAAAAATAATAATAAGAAGAATAACCAATACTTGAAAGTATTTTGTAAGGGCTGAATTTTTTTTTTTTTTTTTTTTGGTTGATCGGATTATAAAAGAAGAAATCAAAACGATAAAAACCCCATAAAAAAAAAAAAGAGAGAGAGAAAAGAATAGAGCATGGCTCTGATACCATGATAAAACATAAAAGAGAAAAGAATTGCATTAACTTCTATATGAGTTTACATTAGAAGGAGGCTTATTTATATACACATATGAGGAGCTATAGATAGTAAGTGAGAGATTTGAGCCAAAATAGGAGCCTAAATAAGAGACCCATGATTTGTGGATTAAAGACTGGACACCCATGATTTCTGGATCATGAAGATTGAGCATATCATTAACAAGGACAGTGGAGGAGAAAGAGAGGCAGTAATGAGGGGGTTCGGTTAGAGCTTGGTGGCAAGTTGAATGAAGACATAAAGCTATGCACACTAGGTGTTTGTGCATTTGTCTATGAGAGGGAGTGAGGATGTTTTAGGTGTGGAGGAGGACAGTTGCAGGGGCTGTGGCTGTGGTTTAGGTGCTGACAAAGTTCAATAAGGAGGAGGTGGTGGTTCTGTTGAGAGAGTTTGCGAGGGTGAGGGAGTTTCGGGAGACCCAGTGGTTGTGAGTGGCTGTTCGGGAGGTGGAAGCAGCTGATGTTGAAGATGGAACCGTGTCTCGGGCTCCGCTGGATGATGAAGATCGTGGGAGCCTAGTTTATTTTTTGGTAGAGGAAGGGAATGGTGGTGGCTAGTTTTTAGTAGTGTAGATAGTTGTTGCCCTACATTTTGTATGATCATTCCAAGCGAGATCAAGGAATGTTAGGAGCTTCAGCTGACCAATGGAACTTGGCAACTTGCTACTTTCCTCGATACTCCTGCTTTATGCAAATCCAGCATGCGCAGAAACTTGAACCTTGTGAAAAAAGTACGACAATCTGATGAAAAATTCAAATATTGACGGCGCAACAGCCGTAGATGCTTTGCCCCAAGCAATGGAGGTGGAATTGTCCATGTTGATTTTACATTTGTAAAATTTACATAACGAGTCCCACCTTGAAGACATCTTGCATCTGAGTCTCCCACATTCACAATCTGCTTTCCAGATACGAGTTGAACCAAATCATGAATTAAAGTATGCATCTTTCATGATAGTATGCTGCCCGAACAATCTGTTTCCACAACTCCGTAGTAGCAACAAAAAAACAGTCCTCAGCAGTATCCTCTAGGCTTTGATTTCTATTTGAAGATCTAAGAAAGCCTGCTCCTATCCAGAGATTAACCAACCATTCCTTTGACAAAGGGTAATCTTTTGGAAACAGGGCACAGAAAGCAAAGCAGTGCTTTAAATGTGAAGGTAAGTGATTATAGCTGATCCTCAGTACAGGCAGAATCTGATTCTCATCCTGTTCAATCTTCGAAAGCTCATCATTTTGTTGTAGACAACCACTCTCTTGCTGTATCTTTGTAATAAAGAAGGCTGCCTAGTGTCCGAATTGCAAGAGGACCATTTGCACACTTCTTAACAATTACCCTCCCTATATCCACCAATTCAGGATTAGTCTCCGCTTGTCCTGGCTTGGAAGCATCTCTTTCGAGAAAAGCCCAAGACCTATCTTCTGACAACCCTTTCAACTCATAGTTTGGAACTGTGCCCATAATGTCTGCCACTATCTTAGACCGAGTGGTTACTATGATCGTACTTCCCTCACCACCTTTAAACCATTCCAAATATCATCCAACACAAGTATGTACCGTTTAGCCTCAACTGCTCCTCTAATTCTCTGAAACAATTCATCAAATTCATTCCCATCAACGTTTGTATTGGCTATCGATCTTACAACGTTTCTCACAATTAATTTTACATCAAAATCCTCTGAAATACGTGCCCACAATCTTACCTCCAAGTGTTTCTGGACCAGCTCACTGCTGTACACTATTTGAGACAATGCTGCTTTTCCTAGTCCCCCGATCCCCACTATTGGGATGACAGAACTATTCTGTTGAGTCTCAGAATCTAACGACATCCCTATTATTGCCGTCTCATCTTCATATCTTCCAATAATATCCTTGGCACATACAAAAGAATAAGTTGCCATATTTGATGTAAAACACATCGAGTCTAGCACTGATATCCTAAACTTTGTTAGCTAGTCTTACGTTAAAAACAAGTGGATTGGAGCATGACAAGAAAACACGTACCCTTTTGAGCATTTTGTTCTCTGTCATCAGTTCTTGCATCCGCACTTCGGCTGCAATTTCATCCACCAAGTCATCTGCGTCATAGATCACATCTTTAAGAGTTCCAAGCCATTCTTTGACAGCTGCACTACTGTGTTGATTCTTCTCCGCATCAAGAAGCACACCTTTGATGACTCCTAGTTGTCCCCAAGTCTTTGAAACTCATCTGCAGCGCCATAGCTTGATATGGCCCCTTCAATGATCAATGGGGCTAATGTCTCAAAGATCTTTCTTGCAATGTTAAATAGCACAGATTCAGCCCTCCCTTTTTTTTTTTTTTGAAATAATTTCTCTTCAAGGATGTAAAGCGAGTAAGAAATTTTGTTTCCAACTAACTGCATGTTATTCAATGGGTGGGATCAGAACAGATGAGATGACAGGTTTGGCATAAACAACAACACAGCAAGGTTGCTATAGTGCTTTTAGCTAATTAGAGCTTTTCACCAACAAATCAGGGAGCGTTCCTTGGTTGACGAGTTGGAATCCTCCGAGACGTCTGTGAGTTATAAGTACTTAGATGTCTAATAATAAAGCTTAGGAAAAAGTACCTCGAATGAGCGAAACATTTGATAAAACAAACGCTAGCTGCTCCTAGCAAAAAAGCAAAGAGTCGGTTCCTGCAAGTACCTGTTTTAAGTGCTAATTAGAATGACCAATTGTAGACTTAATTTGGTTGACATCATCGATCACCATTAATTAAAATTAAGGCTCTGGCGTTTAAGCAAGTAAATTGCCAATTCTCTCTTTGTTTTGATAAATAATAATCTTGTTCGGAGAAATTGTTAGATAGATTCTATCCATGGACTAATTAATAAAAATAAAACACAAACAAATTAAATCATTTGAAATGTATTGTCAACAAATAAAAATAATTCATATCAGATACATAATTATTAGTGTATTTTACCTGAAAACACAACATAAATACTCTATCTATTGAGATGACTTTTCTCAAAAACACATTGAATGTGTTATGTTTTAATAAAGAAATATAAATTTACGTATAATTGTTTAAGGTTTATGAATACTATTAGGAATATTATTAGGCATAAAAATGTTAAATTTTTGAATGTTGATAATTATCATTGAGTAACTGATGTTTTTAGAATTTAATGATGAATTATGATGATAATGGTTAAGTATAAATTGTGATTATGATGTTAAGATAGAATATAAATAAAATTTTTCGTTGTATTAATGAGATGATCATGTAGTTATATTATTGATGATATATTTTAATTGATATATTTAATGATGAATGAGATTAAATTAGAAACAAGAATAAAAAATAATGAAATAATATACGTTTTGACAACAACATATTTGATCGTAACTTTTTAAGTAATACGTTTTGGAAGATGAGTGTTACAATGTGGTATTCCCTAATTTATAGGTAATGTGATAAACTAAATCTACTTAACAATTAACCATTAAAAATCTCATCCGTAGCCCCTTGTTTTCAGCAAACGTGATGGTGACTTGAATTAACTATATAGCAAAATCAATTTTGCTTTATAATTAATATTAGAATAAAATATTATTTATTTTTATTATTAAATAATTCTTTTTATATTTTTATGTATAAATTATTTAACATATTCTTTATATTCTTTTATTTCATTTTTTATCTCTTGTTACGTAAGAAAATTAAGAAGAATTAATATAATTATTTTATTATTCAAACATGATTAACAAAAATGGAAAAAGGAAATATTTAATTTAATTAAATCAAGTATGAAATAAATAAGTGGAAATTTATAATAAACATGGAAAGGAAAAAAAAAGAATAGGAATTAAATTTTCATGTTTTTGGAAAATGAATAAATAATACGATGCTAAAAAAAGAAAAAAGAAAACAGTTCCAGGCCAGTACGGACCGTCGTACCTGGGCCATTGTCACGGTCCATATGCAGGCCCGGATTGAGCTGGCTTCCAATTTCCGGATGACATATCGTCTAAAAACTCCTCTATTCGGTCTCCTCCTTCTCTTCTCCAGCAGCAAAACGGCAGCTCTTAACTAGCCTTGCTGGCCATCTCTTGGACTACTCTCAAATGGCGAAATCAGTCTCAAAAGCGACGACAGCACGCTTCCAGACCCTAAAACGATACATCAAAAAGCCATGGGAAATTACGGGACCATGCGCCGACCCGGAATACAGATCCGCTGTACCCATGGTCACTGATTGCCGCCTCGAATGCCCTGCCACCACTAAACTCAAAGCTGTGGTGCCCACTTCAATCCCAGAAACTGTCTACGATATCAAGTACTTTGCTCGCGATCAACGCCGTAACAGGCCTCCCATTCAACGCACCGTCTTGAAGAAACCTGAGGTGGTAAACTTGATGAAGGAGAAGCAGAGCTTTGATGTCACTGAATTTCCTATCCCTTATTTGACTGCTAAAGTTGAAGAGGATGATAATGCTTATGGTGGAGGCTACGAGACCGGATTTAAATAATTTGGTTGGTGAGTTATTTTCTTTTAAGAAAAAATTTAGATTTTCCTCTCTTTTTTTTTTTTTTTTTTACTGGGTATGTTTGTTTGTTAGTTTTGACAAAAATTGGGAAGTGGGTTACATTTTGAGGATTTGAATCATAGGTTTTGGTTGTTTTTTCTGTAAGTTCTGTTTGTGTATTGATTTTGGTTGTTTGCTAGCGATTTTGGAAAAGATGGTTTTATTGTAGATTTTAGAGAACGAAAGAATGAATGATGGTGTGTTTGGTTTAACTTGATCATGGATGGGATTTGTGGATTTTGGTTGGATGTGGATATTGGAGATGATGACATGATTATGGGTTTTACTAATATTTACAATCTCCTTTCGGGCTACAAGTTGAGCAAATTCGGGAATTATATCAAATCCTGCATCCCGCATTATAGTATCATTCTAGAATAATCTGTTTCCTCATCTACATGATACTGCCTATGTTTATGGAAGCTATGTTTATGGAAGCCAAGTTTTATGCAAGAACTAGGTTTTTTCACACTCAACTTTCCTACCTAATCAATTAGTATAAATAGGGATGGTTTAGTTGATTTGGTGATGTGTGTAGAGAAATTGTAAGAAACGAAGAGAGACTCATAATTTTGGATAATTGTGTGAGTGGATAGGCAAGCTTTAATATCTCTTCGTTTAGGTAGAGAAAAGATTCCAAACCCACTATCACATTATAATCAAGGTTTGGATCAAGAGTGATTCTAGAGCAATTTCTTCTGCTGCATTGGAGAGGTATTTTAACTCTTTCTTGTCTAGTATGTTTTTGGATTAATGAGTGATAGGAGGGTGTAAGGTATAAAATTAGAATATACCAGTAGACAATGTTTCTGAGTTCAAGGAACTGATTATTGAGTTCAATCTTAAATCTGTACTGATTTGTGTTTCTAAAAATAATAAATTTTATGCAACTAGAAAGATTATTGACTGCAGTTTTTATTGCCATAAACGGAGCCCGATTGGATTTCTTTTAATTAGAGACAAATGAATTTCTAAAAAGTGTGCAGCGGTGCAGAGGATCAGTTTTATGATTCTAAAGATTACATGGAATTAATCACACTGGGTTAGCCCGGTGGCGATAAAAAGATGGTTACATCTATTCGAAATTTTTAGGAATGGTTATGATTTATTAATCAACTAAGTGTGCAAACAGTTAATTTAAGATGACTAAAAATGCTGTGTGATTATGAGCAAGTTTCTAACCTTTAGAATTTGACAACCGGGGATATTTGGAAGGAAGGAGGTAAGTAAAATGCAACACGCAATTGTTTCTGAAACATCTTTTAATAAATGAAACTTTGATGAAATATCATGGTAATATTTTCATATAAAATATGGTCAAGCACATGTTATGGTGATTGGATCAAGTTTTGCTTATATGAAATGTTTCATGATTATCATATGAATGTAGTTTATGCAATGAAAATGTGCATTGCTGTCTATTCAATAAGAGATTATGAAGGAAAGAGTTGCCAATGTTGTTTTACGGAAAAAGACTAATGTTTCAAAGATGAGTTTTTGATGTCTCAGATGGCGGAATAGATTTTAATAACTTCTGGGTAAAGCGACAGCTTGAATTACTTTTCTTGAACCCCTGTCAAGGGGCATAGTCGTTGGTCACAGGCACAAACTGTTGATATAATGAGACCATAGCAGCTAGTTCTAGTAAGATTGGCAATGTTTTACTTTATGGCTTATGGAAACTGGTGAACTGTTCTCTGGTTTATGTTTTACGAACTGTTTTTGGATTATTGAGTTAATTGATGTTTATCATAAACATAAGAAATTTTTTATGTGGTCCAGTAGTGTGTGTGAGGTTGGTTATACTAGTAAGCCGTGATGGCTTACCCTTTTTTTTTCCTATCCTCGCAGATCTGCAGGTCGAGACTCAAGGCAACAGGGCTTTTCGGACGTAGAGTCATCAATTGAAGTTTGTTTGTTTTTTTTTATTTTTTTTTATTTTTTGTCTTAAAGGATTCCTGCTGAATAATAATAAATTTATTTAATCCATGTTATGGATTTACCGCTGTACTTGATAAAAATGTAATTGCTTGCTTGGAACCATGCCTGTAATAAGATAATGAAAATTGTTTGTTTCTTTAAGTAGATAATGGTCGTTGACATCAAGTGTGATGGCAACTGGCAAGTGAGTATAACTGACCCTCTGCTCAGGCGTAGTGTGATTCTCATCCCGTTAAATCGTAGGAAACCTACAATTTCTTATAGACAACCTCTCTCTTCGTTGCATCTTTGTAATAAAGAAGGAACATTTGGACACCATGATACTAAGGCAAATTGATTCAACCCATCAGAATTATTTTCTCATAATTGATTTGACATCAGAAGTAAAACAGATCTATCTACAATAGTACTAGAAATGCAAGTCGTTGCATATTGGAAGATAGAATTAATGTCCATTAATTGAAACTAGGTTTCATTAACGTCTTCAAAAGGAACAACTGCATGCCTCAATCTTATTCATTTGGCACCATAGCTACTACCAAGAGCCCCCGCACTGCACTTATCCTAATTACTCATGGAGGGCAACTCCAAAACCACGACCATTAGGCTAATGGGTAGGAGCAAGAGGCCAAACTTCTTAGGTGGTCCTAATGTAAGGAAGCATTGTCTTGCTTTTGGATATGGAACACGAAGAAAAGCAAGCTAGCATTCTGGTCTAACCAACTTTGGTATTTCACATTGAAATCTTTGTATTTAAAAATTACTTATTGTATCATAAAAACATTAACTATACATTTTTTTTAATTATCCTTGCATGTTTTTTTTTCAAAAATAGATGAAAAATGCATGAATTATGTTTTAGATAATTATGTTAGCATAAGAGTCATTTTCTGTCTAAGATTCCAAGTTCATCTAACATGATACGACATGTATGATAATATCAATAATTTTAGTCTATCAAGGATGACTTGTAAGCAAAAAATTAAAATTAAGAATAAATAGATGACATGTCCCCATTAATCATATTCTAATGTCAATAACAATTTCACAATCAGTACAAACCCTAAATCAAATTCTAAAAAATTCATAATCTTTTCTTTTTTTTGCCCAACGAACAAGAACCTCTCTCTCTTTCTCTAATCACGAATCTTCAACCATTATCCATTCCTCTCACCCTGCCACGAATCTTCAACCACACTAGTTTTGTTGTTAGTTCTTCAGAATCTCCTAATGATCCTTAATTACCCTGAAACTCAAAGGTAGTAACTTCTTGTAATTTTTCTGTTATAAAAGGGTAGACTTGTCAATATATCAGACAATCAAAAAGCCCAAATGTAGCAATTACCATAGATGGATCTGGAATGTTTGTGCAAGGAAATCCAGAACCATATCTTTTTATGGAAGATGGTAAAAAGAGCACACCCAGCTGAAAATAATCACACAAGAAGAATAAGGCATCAATGCTTCTAGAGACAAAAAGGCAGAAACATCAAATACGAAATTGTGAAGGTAAGAAGACTGTATACAAAATAAATAAATAAATCAACTTTTTGTTACCATTTGCTTATTCTCACATAAACATGTTCCTGATTTGATGTTCCATGCTTTACTTTAACCTTTCGAGTGGTACAATTCCTCATGCACATGCCTCATAATAACGGATCATCAACTGAGAATTATTCTTCTACAGAGCCCCCCAGGCTGCTTTGCTAAGATTTGATGAGGTTAGCAAGAACCAAATGTTGGGAGAAATTTTATGTTCAGGCTTCAAAGTAAAAAATGAGCTAACTTCTTGCAGTCATTTAACTCTTCTTTGGGCCATGCAAAGCACCTCAGAAATCATTAAAAGTAAAAGAAAGTAACTCTTACGCAATTTTTTGGCCGTTACAGCGAATGAAAGTCTTTATAAGGGGTTTTTTGTTCATTTGGCAGAGAAGAAAAGAAAATTAGTGATTTTTTAAAATTTGATTTGGAGTTTGTATTTATTGTGATTTTTTAAAAAAAAATCAGAAGAGGAATTGTGGTGACATGTCGTTCATTTATTTTCAATTTTAACTTTTTTGCCAATGTGTCATTCTTTGTGGATTGAAATCCATGGTGGCATCCCACATGTTACGTCACGTCAAATGAACTCGAAATCTTAGATGAAAAATGGCTCTCTTGCTAATTTAATTACCATAAATATAGTTTATATATTTTTCATCAACTTTTGAAATAATGTGTCAAAATGATTAAAAGGTGTAAAGTTCATTATTTTATGATAGAATAAGCCTTAAAAAAATACTCGCTACTTAGAACACATAAATAAACAGACTAATGAGACTACAAAATCACAACCAAATTATAAACCCATATTGGTATACCAAAAGGCTATATATTGTTGAGATTGAATAGCTTTTTTAAGATCCAATTAGTCATAAACTTAATTTTAGGATATGAAAATTGAAAATTGAGTAGAGTACACTTGTTGAAAATATAGAAAAAAAATATATGGAAAAATAAAAAAACTAGGAAAAACAATATAAGAATTTTTTTAAAATAAAACAAAAACACTTTTGTTCCGCTAGACATAAAAAATAATAAAGTAAAAAATAGACAAAACGCAAATGATGCATCTTTCATGAAAAATGATCGTTGCTTGTTTTGAAAAAAAATAAATAAACCAAGTTCTTTAAAGTTGGAAATTTTCAATCATGTTACGGGCTCTTCTAACGTTGATGGATGGATTAGTTGTGCGAATGCATTGAGAGTTGATGAGCTTTAACTTATCTTAAGAACTCCACTTTTCCATCATTCCATACGGAGTTTCAATTTGTCCATAAAAAACTTGATTAAATAACTTAGCTAATTTGTTATGATATGCTAATTCATGTGTTTTTTTTTTTATAACATGAGCTCAAACTACATCACAAATGAATTGGACCGAGGACGATCCTCACGCAACGCAAGTTCATGGATTGCAAGAATAGACATGAGTGTCTAGCAAGCTCGATATTCATATC